CCGGGGCCCGGAGGACTGCTGGGGGTGGCGGGGGCCCGCCACGGTCCGCCCCTCCCCCATGGCTGGGGGGAGGGGTAGTTGCTTCCCAATCGGTCCCTCCCCTGCGCCCCAGGGAGCCGAGTCCCAAACCAACCCCTCCCCCACGGAGCGGAGACTTCAGCCCCACCCCTCCCCCACGGCGCCTGGAGAGGACCCGAGTCCAAGCCCTGCCCTTCCCCCACGGCGGGAGGACCTGCGACCCTAGTCCCTCACCTCAACCCCACCCTTCCCCCCCCCCACGCCGCGTGGACGAGGGGAACCCGGATCTCTTCCTACTTGCTCCAATCCTTGCCCCTTCCGCGTGTCTTCCTTGGGGACAGAGAGGAACCCCGGCCTAATCCCACCCAAACCCAGCCTTTCCACGGTTGCCTAGAGGGGACAGGAACCCAGGCCACCCCCGCAGATTCCAAGGGGTTGGAAAACCCAGGACACTGCTAAAGTGTTACCCTCCCCCACCTCAAAAAAGAAGCCGCCCTGCTGGCCTAACAGAAAACCCAGTAATCTGCCCCAGGGTGTGTCCCTCAAAACCAGGGGCTTGGGAAGACACCCCAATCGTCTTCCCATACACTTCAGAAAGTGGGACTCAGGCGGAGCCTCGACCTTTGCAAGACATCTCCCGGGAAGAGCCAGAAATGTTAGGGAGGAACTCAGACACACGGGTAGGCACCAGGAACTCGGTGTGGGGACCTGGGGGTGCTTTGGGGGAACTTGGGCCCTCGGACCTCCTTTCCCCAACCATACCCACCCTCAGGCTTTTGCAAAGTGTTTTAGGTTGCCACGGCTTACATGGCCCACCCCGGTGCACCCACGTCCCCAGCGCTCCTTCCCTCCACTTCGATGACGACTCCCCACTACTCGCGGCCTTAATTCAATTAAACAAATGTCTGCTCACCCTCCCCAGCACCTTTAGAGTCTGTCTTGTTAAATATTTTTTAAATAAGTTCGCCCCTCCCTTTGGTATCTAATGAGCTTCATGCTCAGAGCCCAGTACACTCAGCAATTTAAACTATAACCTCACTTGCTCCTGCCTAGAACACTAGACTATTTGTTCTTCTGCTTGTTGGGGGCAGGGGGGACCCGAGGTGAGTTTTTAAGGGGCCAGTCCTCCATCAAAAAGGCGGACCCAGAAATTACCCTGCGAAATATTGCTGTAAAACGTCAATGATGTAAAACGACTGTTGCTACACCATTATTAGAGCACATCAATAAAAAATACACACTTACACAGTCTCCATAATTGTGAATCAGCAGAATAGATTGTGTCTTATTATGTATCAGTTGCCTTTCAAGGCCCCCCCAAAAGGACTTGGTGGGGCCTTGCCTTGAGCCTGCCCTTCGTTGCTCCCGGGCTCCCTGGGCTTGTGCAGACTGATGCTGAGGTATTACATGCAATCGAAAAACGAAGGGTGCAATAGAAAACCCGAGCGAGCTCCTGATGCAACTCTGCCCTGGTTACACGTGCTTCCCTTCCCCCACCGCCGGCTGGTGGGAGCGCTGCGTTTTTTCCGCCTGTAGGGTCACATTGTGGTTGATTGATTCTTCTTTCGCCTTGCTCAGTCATTCAGATTTGGAAAGTAAATAACAAGTTGACATCATTACAGCTCTCGGCTTCACGGGGACGCGGCCCTCGGCTACCGCACACTCCCGAGTAGCCGCGCGGCTAAACCGGCGCCCTGGCCTGCCAGCCGCCCTCATCCCCTAGCTGTTGGAAATTCCAAGCCGAGCTTGGTTAAAAGGCCTCTTTGTGTGTTTGGATAATTTGACAGATACCGATACCAATCCTTTAAAGTACGGGAAAAAGGTAGAAATCCTCACTCTGAAGCTGGAGCCCAGGGTGGCCGGGTTTTACGGATGATCTCTGAAAACTAACAAAGCGAGAGTGCTCAGAATCCATCTTGCCTGCTTGATCAAGTCCCGGTAATCCCACTGCTGTCCTCGCGGGTAAGGAGTCAAGCGCGTTTCACGCGGATTCACAGCCCGCACCCCCCACCCCCCAAGGGACAGTGTGAGGCCTAAGACGGGAGAAGAGACCTCTTGTGTTTATCATGAAATCACCAGTATTTCTCTTTCTGAAATGCTGGAGGACTGGTAGGGAGGTGGTCAATTAGACTGTTGGTTCCAACGTTTTGGTGATTTTTCAAATGTGCAGTCGTATAAGATGGGAAGTAGAGCGGGTTAACAGTGATTTCCAGGGACACCCACTGCACTGTATATATTACTTTATTCCTGACAAGGGAAGGGGAAACAAAAATTTGCTTGCCACAAATGCCATTAGCACTCTCCATAAATAGTTCCCAAAATTTTAACTAAAAGGCAGTCAGGACAGCAAAGGCAATTCATCCTTTTTAGCAAACAGTGCTGGAACAATCGGACATCATACATTAAAAAAAAATAAAAAATTTAAAAAGTAGAAACTCTAGGCATAAACTTTATACCTTTCACCAAAAAATTAATGAAAATTAACTTAAACTAGGTCGTAGACCTAATGATAAAGGGTTAAACTATAAAACTGTGAAAGGATAACAGGAGAAAATCCAGATGACCTTGGGTTTGGCAAATGCCTGTTTAGGTGGGATGCCAAAAACATGGTGTATGAAAGACAAAAACAGTGACAAGTCGGGCATCATTGAACTTTTTAAAGTCTGCGGAAGATACTGTAAATAGAATAAAAAGACATGTCATGTATTGGGAGAAAATACTTGCAGGTCCGTACCTGGTAAAGGATTGGATTCAAAACGTACGAAGAGTTCTTAAAACTCCACAATAAGAAAACAACCCAATTAAACAAAGAGCAGAAGATCAGAAAAGAAACATCATCAAAGGGATATGCAGATGACAGATAGGCATATGGAAAGAGGCTGAGACATCATATATCACCAGGGAATTGCAAAATTAAAATAGCAATGAGATGCCACTACGTAAATGAGACTGGCTAAAATTCAAAAAACTGACAATAACAAATGCTGACAGGATGCGGAGCACCAGGAGGTCTCACTCGTTGCTGGTGAGAATATGAAATTGTGGTCCAGCTACTCCGGAAAACAGTCTGGCAGCTTCCTATGAAGCTCAACACGATCTTACCCTGTATATGATCCAGCGATCACCTTCCTGGCTATTTATCCAAGTAAGTTGAAATCTGCATCTAGGTAAAAGCCTGTACGCAGATGTTCAGGGCAGCTTTACTCATAGTCACCCAGCCCTAGAATCAAGCACAATGTCCTGTAATAGGTGGAGGGTGAACTAATGGTGGTATATCTATGCAGTGGAATATTATTCAGCACTGAAAAAGAGATGAGCTATAGAGCCACAAAAGCACATGGCAGGACTTTAAGTGTTACTAAGTAACAAAAGGCAGGTACAGAAGGCTACATCCTGTATACAGTTTCCACAAAGTGGAAAACGGGAAACTGCAGAGACAGTGGAAAGGTCAGAGGTGGCCCAAGAGTTCCAGGGGAAGAGGGGGTGAGGAGCTGGAGCACAGAGGATATTTAGGGCAGTGGAACTATTAATACTGGAATGTTGGATACATGTGATTATGCATTTGTCAAAATTCGCAGAATGTACCACACAGAGTAAACCCTACTGTAAACTATGGGCTTTAATTAACAATAACAAATCTGGCTCGGCGCCTGTGGCTCAAGTGGCTAAGGCGCCAGCCACGCACCCCTGAGCTGGCAGGTTCAAATCCAGCTTGGGCCCGACAAACAACAATGATGGCTGCAACCAAAAAAAAAAAAAAAAAAAAAATAGCCGGGCGTTGTGGTGGGCACCTGTAATCCCAGCTACTTGGGAGGTGGAGGCAGGAGACTCACAGAAGACTCGCTTGAGCCCAGAAGTTGGAGGTTGCTGTGAGCTGTGATGCCATGACACTCTACCCAGGGTGACAGCTTGAGGCTCTGTCTCAAAAAAAAAA